AGCCTCTCTGCACCCTACTCGGAGTTGGAACCCTGTCCAGGGTCCTCCACATCCTCCAGAGCAGACTCAGAGGGCCCCTCGCTGTCAGAGTCTGGTGGCAGCTCCAACGGCTCCTGCTGGGCCACAACAAATAGGGTGCATTGAATAGAGAGAGGCAGGCTAAGAAGGATGCTAGTTGGAAGCTAACAAGGTTTTTTTTATATATTTTTTTCCTCAGAACTGTGAAGAAACAGGTCAGTGAGTCCTGACACTGTTGTCCCTAAGCTCTGACACAGCCTCCTTGCTATTGCACCAAAGCAATAAATCAGAGGGATGTTATTCAGACAATGAGACAGATGGAGAAGATTTCTTTGCAAGACACAGCCAGATTGCTATCGGCACAGCGTGTTAGCGTGACAAACATTGTTGGAGGAATCTCTTGGAGCAACTCTGGGTTCTCCCTCCCTGTCAGAATGCCTTTGGAGAGTTTGAAGGGACTAATGATTTATAATTTTTCTTTCCTGTTCTGGGCTCCACCTACAGTAGAGACCTCGGAGTGTCTTGTAAATCAAAAAACAGGATGGTCTTCACACGCTCATTATTATTCCACAAGAGCAATGGGAGACACGAAGCTATAAAAATTGCCTTCATCGCTAAGTTGCTTTTCAGCTAGATTTAGTTCCAGGAAGAGAAGAGAAAGGAAGGTAGTAGTATAATTGGAGTAGGAGAAATAACTAAGGCAAAAGATAAAATTTATATCTTCATATCTAGGTCAAGGGGAACATTTGCATATTGTTCTTAGAAGAAAAATGAAAGCAAGAAGCCAAGTCGTAACAAAAGAAATCATTTCAATATTTCTGCATGTCTCTCCCAAATGACAAGACAACACAATTATTCATGTCTGGAATTTGACTCTCTTTCTGAAGATACAAATTTGTTCCTTCAGCCCACGGTGTAGTTCAGCAGTAGATTGATAGAGCTCCAACTAAGAAGATGGGGAGTCTCCATTCCATTTTCTATTCCTGAAGTTATGCTCCGAAAAAAGAGATGATGCTGTCTGATAAGTATCTCCCTTGTATCATAGGTGGAAAACCCATCTCTCATGATCTACATGCAGTTCTGTTCTCATTAGATCTCTTCTCTTCTCTTGTCCTCCTGTCTTCTCCTCTCCTCTCTTCCCTCCATAAGATCACAGCATACTGAAATTCAATGACAAAACATTCCTTTTTTTAAAAAAAAACACACACACACACAATAAGCCCCAAAACAGGTGTTTAGAACTCTGGTGGATTTAATGCATGAATTTTCATCCAATTGCTTCCCCAAATCCTGAAAATATAAGTCCTACAATATCATTACTTAAACACCCGCCCCCCAGTTGTGAAAAATCAAAAAAGAATAATAACCTCTGGTCGCAAAACAATATCCTCCTCTGATCCATAACGTCTGGATTTTAATCACAAAGCTTTCCTAGTTCTACCTGAGATGCTGTTGATTGACTGCAGCACCTTCTGAAGAAGTCAGCATCAGAATAAAAATCAGAATCAAAACAGCTTTATTGTAGTAACCCTGGAACAACATAGTGCAACTCTGTCATAAAAATATAATACATGATTAATAATGTAACGTGGTGATATATCATAATACATACACTGCCATAACACAGCATAAGAGAATAACCATAAGGTTTAAAATATAGAGTACATAAATTAAGACGGGGAGTTGGAAACATGGGAAAAGCTCAATGAAATATAGATAATATTATATTATGTACTCTTAAATGCCTGCTTAAATTATAATATGAATAAATTCTATAAATAATATGAAGTTAACGCCAAAGTTACAATTTAACCAAGACAATCGTCTTTCAACATTTAAAGGAAAACATAGTAGAAACGACCACTTGATAAGAAGCTGAAGTCCACCAACCAATTATGTAGGGATTCAACTTTTGAATGCATGAATATGCATTTTGTAGTAAAGTATGGTGTTAACTTTAATGTCCCCCATTTATTAATGAGTCTGAGTGCCAAAGATTTATGCTGATAGATCCTTTCCTTTCTTTCTACTTACAAGTAGACATCCTATTTTTATTCTCTATGATTTTAACTTTTCCTTACTCTTGCTGGACTTTAGGAAAAGATCATTTTCTATTACAGCAAAACATGAATAAAAATCCTCATATTAGGAAAATTATGCACAGGGCAATAGCACACCAATAGCAGGCAGGTTTGGGTAAAACTTTGGGGGAAATTAGATCTAAATCCAGAAGCTGACATTCTAATGAGACCAAAGCAAAATTCAGTAGCCGAACAATAAGAATTGAGCACACGCAAAATTGATCAGTATGCCCGTCCTTTCTCAAAATATACAGGTAGTCCTCAACCTATTACCACAATTGAGCCTAAAATTTCTGTTGCTAAGTGAGAGATTTCTTAAGTGAGTTTTGCCCCATCGTTAAGAGACTCCCTGCAGCTGTTAAGTTAGTAACACGGCTGTTAAATTGAATCTGGCTTCCCCTTCTGATTTTGCTGATCAGAAGGTTGCAAAAGGGCATCACATGACCTCAGGACACTGCAACCGTCATAAATACGAGTCAGTGGCCAAGCATCTGAATTTTGATCAGGTGATCGTGGGGATGCTGCAATGGTCATAACTGTGAAAAACAGTAATAAGTCACTTTTTCAGTGCTGTTCTAACTTTGAACAGTCACTAAATGAATGGTCATAACTTGAGGATACCTATATTTAGGCGCTTCCTTGCATTTAATGATCAGATTCTCTATATTCAATCAGTATTTCTTCTTCCCTTCTGTGTGAAGTAACCATCCTCTGCTACCAAATGCGAAGTATCCGTGGGTCGTCCATGAGGCCAATGTTGAGAAAAGACACGGACACGATCTTTCTCGGGATGGAGCGACCCAGATTGGACTCTGGAAGCCCCTTTTATTGAGATAGGACAAAGGCAGGAGGAGCAATCAGCATGTGATTAAAAACAGCCTGTAAAAGTACAATTTCTAATCTACTGCTCAGGGAAGTTCTGTCTATATATGGTCAAATCCTGGGCGTCATTGGTAGGGCACATCTCAGGATATTATGTTATGAACTATCAGGATGTTATGGAGTTTTAGGAGTTTGTTTTCTCCTGTGTGGTTCAGCGTGGCTCTGCATGCCCCGTTATGCACTGGGCCATGGGTGACCCACACCTACACAAGGAATTATATTACAACACTTCTGCAAAAAACTGATAACCATTTCTATTACGCACTGTGAAAAAGATATTCTGGCAAAAAGCATAATTTCAATGTGCTAATAGTTTACTCTAAAGGACATTTTCTTAATAGCTGTTATAATGGCGACAAGAAAAAAAGTTCACTCCAAGTTTGTTAAAATAATAAACACTATACGAGTGAAATAGCCCAGATAATTCATAACATTTACACTTTTGCCTAACAAGCTTAGGGAAGAAAACAACTTGCAGAAAAATGCACCGAGTTTGATTGCAAAGTAATTTCACTACTTTTTTGAGATAAATAATTAAATTCTCTTTATAAGATTATATTATTGTTAGTGTGCAATTTCTCTAACAGAGAACTATGTCAGGTTGCAATGGGAAATTAATGCTTACAGGTTTATGTGTACATAAACAGAAAAAGCTTGTTAAATATGCATAAGCTGGAAAAGGAATACATTATTGAACAAACTACTTTCCAAAGCACACAGTTTTAAAATTATTGTTGTGGAAGTACACATTTAGGTATTCGAAAGAGGAAGAATTCTTTATATAAATGAAGTTATCTTCAATACAAATGAATATATTTATGTTGATAAAAAAAAAGAATTGTCTTTCCCCCAATTGTTAAACCAAATGATGCAGTAACTTGAAAAAAATATCTCTTAGGGCTTAGG